CAGAATATTCTTTTCCTGAGTTAAAAAGACATACAAATTTCACATTTCTGTAATCTTTTCAACCTTACTAAAATTTGCAGGTTTAGTAGTAAGTCACACTTGTGTGACAAATGTGTTGTGACTAGTGTTAGATAGGTGTTGCACTTTTTGATAAAGAAGAATGACTGCTGTAAGCATTTATTAGCTTTCCTTCTCACCAGGACTTGCAATCGAGATGTCAGTAAGGTAGTTTGAGATACAGTGCAATAAAATGAAGGAGAGGTAGTGAATGAAAGAATTTAAGATGAGCTGTGAATCTGGGATTTTATTTAGTTTCTTTTGATTTATTGGACAAACTTGTGAAGAACCTTGTACAGCTAATTTTTAATAGCTGAAAATTGGCTGTCTTTGTTAAATCTCATTTTAGTTTTGGGGTGGTTTTTTTTTTTTCCACAAAGACAGCTGCAGTATTTCTAGAAATTTGCTTGTCTTGAATACTTTTGTTCTTGTTGGTTACATTGTTCTAAACAAGCATTGTCTTATAAATGTTACTTGCTTATTTCAGGTTGTTGCAACGTAATTTGTTCAGATAAAACTGGAACTCTGACAAAGAATGAAATGACTGTTACTCATATTTTTACTTCAGATGGGCAGCATGCTGAGGTATGTAGTGAGACTGTTGGACTTCAGTTTTCCTTTTCACTTTGTTGTGTGTATTGGCTGAAACATGCTTGAGTATACTGCAGGTAAACCATCAATTAAGAAAGCGTAAATTTGTTGCACCAAACTCCATGGTAAATGGAGTTTACCAAACTCCCACCAAACTCCAATATGGTAAATTTGTTGCACCTCAACTTCCAGCTAATTCTGTTCTTTGCTTCATTTAGTATTGCAGCCTTTGAGCTGTATTATCCAAGCCTTCTCTGGTTACAGAAGAATTTTTTATATAATACGTTCAGTTCTTAAATCTCTTGATCCCTAAGGGTCACGATGAAAGATATGCTGAGATAAAGTACAACAAGAAGTTGAAAGATTGTGGTTTTCTTCAGTACAGAAAGTTGAGGCTATTTTGCTGTTGCAGGTGCACAAAAACAAAATTTTTGTGTTACAAATATTTAAAACAGGGATATTCAGCTTTTGACTAAAAGACATTTTGATGTGTGAACCTTTCATGCTCAGTATGTAGTGTCATTTTTGTTTTTTCATAATGGATGGAGCTGGAAGTAGGAGCAGGACATGAAACAGTGGTTGTTGAGGTTGGGGAGGTGCTGCAAAGATAGAAGTAAATGCACAGAACAGAAGAAAAAACAGCAAGGTGTGGAAATAGATGTGTTTCATGAGTGTTTTAAACAAGTTTTTAAATTCTCAAACTCTTCTTGATCAGGTTTTTTTTCCCACATTACAGTTAACAGAGGATCTTGTCATTGACTTTTGTAAGCATAAATACTGACATTTTTTCTTATTCTTTCCTGTTATTTTGATATGTTTGCTTATATATCCTGGTATTTATTTTTCTGTTCTTAGACTTCTATAGGAGTACTGTAATTGCTTTTTCTTTACTACTAGCACAGTTTGTTTACGTCTGGGTCAAATCAGCTTCTTTTTCCTAATTGAGAGAGAACTTGAACTGGCTGTATAATATATTAGCTCTTAATACTGTAGACATGAAGACTTTTTTCCGAATCCTAGTGGGATGCCTGGTTTTTATGCACTAAAAATACAATTTTACTGGTTTTAACCTCTTTGAGACCTCAAAGAGGTCTCAGCTGAGAGGCTGGTCTTTTTGGTTTTTCTTTTTGTCTTCCTGGATGAAAGTAGGATTCTGCTCTGTACTTCCTGTACTGCAAGGGGGCTATGCATTATTAACCAGGATAAAGATGAATAGGAGGAAAAAATTAGAAAGCAAAAGAAAGAAGAAAAAAAGAAAGCATGCCTAATACTCTAAGGAAACAACATAGAATGCATTTATTTATGCTAAGGTGTAAAATTGCTACTTTAAAAAAAAAAAAAAATAAAAATTAGTCTCTAGTATGTTACATTGAACTAACGTGCCTTCAGAGTTTTTATTCCTTAATCTAGTACCTGCTACATTAGAAGCTGAATAGGTGAATCCATTCACACTGAGTATCATCAGTCATTATGAATGGCCTTTTTAAAATTTTCTGTAGTATATAGTAAAAAAGCTGAGGTTAAAACTATATATGAACCTGGTGAACATTACATTGCATACTGCCTTTGGCTGTTTGTATTACAGGTTACTGGAGTAGGTTATAACAGGTTTGGAGAAGTGATGCTCGATGGTGAAGCTATTCATGGTTATAACAACCCATCAATTAGCAAAATTGTTGAGGTAAGGTCTTGGCACAGAGAGGTGAGTTTTAGTTGATGTAGTTCAAGAGCCTTGTATGGCATTTACTTTGTGTTATTTTTTTTTTTCCCCCCCCTTTCCTCCCTCATCCTTTAGGCTGGTTGTGTGTGCAATGATGCTTTGATTAGAAACAACACTTTAATGGGGAAGCCAACAGAAGGGGCTTTAATTGCACTTGCTATGAAGGTGCGTACTTGATGGTGCTTTTTGGATTCATGGTAGGTGGGAAGACTGTAGAAATAAGTTACGGTTTTGTTCTTTTTCCTCATTTTCTTCTCCTTTGGGAGAATTTGCATTGCAACTGTCCATCTCCTGTGTATCTTATCTGTTGGAAATCTTTGGGCATTCTGAAAGATGAGAGAAAATTAGAACTGAAGTAAAATCTTTATTTTTGTCTTTTTGCACTTAGTATTGTCTTTTCATCTGCCACAAGCTAATTTACCTGTTGAATATTGATTGTGCTGTCTCTTTCCCAGTTCTCATAAGAAGCAGTAGGAAGTTGATAACTGATGTATTGGTGACTGCAGCATTTATAGTGCCCTTTAAGTGGGGGGCACAGGTAGTTTGAGTTGTGGACGCTGTGATTAAATGTTTTGGGTTTTTTTTCATAATGCTGTGACATACCCACTACAGCTGCTGAGAAATATGGCAAGGCATCTTAGCACTTGGGTTTTTTTCTGTGCTGGTGAATAAACTCAAGAACACTGAGAGATGAATGTATTACAGGCTTTCTCTCCCTGTGTAACTGAGGCCTGAGATGTATCTATCTTGTTGCTAAGACTCATTCCAAGTCCCCAGTCTTTGACTGGAAAGAACCAGAGTAATGTTAGTTTGGCAAGAGCCCATAGAAACTGAGAACAGGAGTCTTTCACTCCTGTGAAAGGGAGGTAGTGAAGGAGTTCTGAAGCTCTGTAAGTATTAAGAATGGCTTACAGCAGGCTGCTGCTTCTACATTTTCTTTAATCAGCACTTTCCCTTGGACTTGGTTAAGGGCAGAGCATGGAATGCTGTGAGTCGCATCAGGGATGGGGAGAGAGCAGCATTTGAAATGAAATGTATTTTGTCTGCAGTCTTCATGGTTAGTTCTAGATTAAATGTTTGAGTGATTCTGATCACTAAAAAAAGGTCACTTCAAGGTGGATCATTCAGACTTAATATCAGTGACTTGCCTTCTCTGGACCTTGCCACAGTCTTGTGTTACAATTTTGTAGGCCCTTCTAGCAGAGAAATTACATAGAAGATACAGAGGGGGAAAAAAATCCAAAACCAATGCAATGGGACGATAGACATGTTTTGTGAAACCAAGTGGTACATTGGTAGCCATTGTAGGACTTGTGTTTGTGGATGGTCAGAGTATTTCAAGATCCTTGGATCAAAGAGAGTATATAGTACTAAATGGGCTGACTTGTGCTGAAGCCTGAAAGAAGCTTCTAGGTTCTTTCAGTGCTAGTTTGTCAGACATTTGTCTAAACTGGAAGAGTGTGCTCAGAAGAAACATTGCAGATGAAACTGTTTTTTAACTAAGTAATGATTAACTCAGATGTCTCAACAAGTCAACAAATTGTGTAGCTGTTTGGAAATAAAAGGCACTGACATTATGGTGGTACTTCTGTTTTATACAGATGGGTTTAGATGGACTCCAGGAAGACTATATAAGGAAGGCTGAATATCCCTTCAGCTCTGAACAAAAATGGATGGCTGTTAAATGTGTTCACAGAACGCAACAGGTAAACTTCAGTCACTGTTTTCTTGTGCAATGGCTCTGTGGAATGGTTATCTACCCTGTTTAATATTCTCATTTTTCACTTCAGAAAAATGGGTGCTAGTGCAGCAGGCTAGTGCACAGTCCTGGAAATATGGTTTGACAATAGACAGTTTTAGTTTCAAGCTTTGAAGGGGAGATTTAAGAATCACAAGAAATCAAAAGGCGTGCTGGGAAATGATTTAAAGTATTTTGATATCTGAGACTTTGAATGTATACCTGGCTGTTTTTTCTTCGTTCTCTTCCTTCCTCAAAAATCCAAAGCAGCAGCCAATTTTCTGCTGTTTTCAGTGCTACATAGTTACATAATGAATTAAGAGCAAGAAGATGCACTGATGTTCAATAGTAAAATTTCTTTTGTTTAAAAATGCAGGTTTTCTGGTTTTGATGCAGGCAGCATGTTCCCTGGTGTTGACAGATTTTATTGATGTAAATGGTGTCCTGGATTATCAATACAAACCATTCTTTAAGCTCTTTTTCTGTCTTCTGGTGCTTTCACAGACATATTTGCATTCATATTTCATTTAGACCAATCTGAATGTTTTTGTTACATATATTGACGTAGTCACTGCCAGTCTGATAACTGGAGCCTCCTAAATAACATGTGCAACAACAGACCTTATCTGGGTTTTATGGAAAATTTCCTAGTACTTCTGACCAAAAAATAGCTTGCTGACAGTATCCAAGTATCACAGTAAAATCTTTGCTTTGGAAACAAAACATTTGAATTGTTTTATCTATATGGATAATATGGTTGTATTATCCTTGTCTATATAAAGAGTGATAAGCTGTATGATTTTCATCCATGTAAGGATTTACTGGGTCTGTGTTTTGGTATCAGCATTTTAGAAAGATTATTGAAAAATTGGTAACAGTTTCAAACAGAGCATCAATTCCTTGAAGGCTAGGAAAATGCAGTGCCTTTAGAAACTTAGAACTCTATCAGTTAGGCCTATCAGAAAGACTGAGGTAACTTGACTACTGTGCATAAATAGGGAGAAAATGGGTATATTAAAAAAGAGTTTTTTAGTTCAACAGGAGAGAAGAAGAGAATCAGTGATTGGAAATTGAGCTGAGGCAGCAATCCTTAATGGAAAAGGGAGGAAGGGAAGGGATAAGTTGATTTAGCATTGGAGTTAAGTGTTCAAGGTAGGTGGTAGATTCTCAGTCCCTTGATAGCATCGAAGCTAGATGACTATCTGGAAAATATTAGAGTTGTTAGGCATGGTATAAGAATGCAGGTGATGTTTAATGACCTATGCAGCTGGTCAGATGATGAGCTAACGGTCTTTCTGGTCTTATGTTCTGTGTACGTTTAATTTCTGTCCTTTGCATGGCCTCTTAGTCTATGAACTGTGACCCACAGTGTTTAATGTGTATGGTGTCTGCTGAAATGAGATACTGATTATTAGCTTGGCTCTTTTAATATTACCACTCTTGAACATACACCGTATATAATCAAAAGAAGAGATCTTTAGGTTTAGAAGTGTAATTTTGATTTGCATTATATTCTGAAGACTCCTTAAGAAAAGTACAGATATGCCATTCTTAAATGTGCGTGTGTATGTACTTGTGTGTTTGTATTTACATATGCATACACACATGTGCACACAATTCTTTTTCCTTTTAGGACAAACCTGAAGTTTGCTTTATGAAAGGTGCTTATGAACAGGTCATTAGGTACTGTACATCATATAACTGTAAGGGGCAGACTCTACCTCTTGTTCAGCAACAGAGAGAGCAGTATCAGCAAGAGAAGACATCTATGGGCTCTGCAGGACTTAGAGGTAAGGCTGTTTCAGTGTCTCTAAATAACCATTTTTAAAAAAAGTGGCACTGCTTATTGTTTTAAAAAACAAACAAAGCCCAACAAAAAAGCCCCAAAACAACAACAAAAAAATAGGATTTTGTTGTTGTTGTTCAGTAAGTGCCACTGGGGTTGTTTTGTTTTTCTTTAAAATGGAGCAGTGGAAAAAGTGATGCTATTACCGAAGGCCTGTATAATAACATGATGAAATTGCAAAGGGTGAGGAAAGTCAAAAGCCCAACAAAAAAGCCCCAAAACAACAAAAAAAAAATAGGATTTTGTTGTTGTTGTTGTTCAGTAAGTGCCACTGGGGTTGTTTTGTTTTTCTTTAAAATGGAGCAGTGGAAAAAGTGATGCTATTACCGAAGGCCTGTATAATAACATGATGAAATTGCAAAGGGTGAGGAAAGTCACTGCTGGTTCCTATCATCTTTGCATGTGACCATAACTGAACATTGTTACCTGATAGCTTCCATATGTCATTATAGATGTCTGTGGGGTTTGGGTTTTTTTTTAATGTGAATGTGTTTTCTTCTATTACTTTGGTTCCTGGCACCTTTGTGAGTTAGGGTAGCACAACTGATTGCAGGTCAGAAGATGTCATTAGAATTACCTTTTATGTTGCAAGTTGTGTAGTTTTTTTTTTTAAAATGTAACTGAAAGTATTTTTCACAATTAATAGGAGGTGACTGTGAGTAAGTGTTATACATTCCTGGCTTTCTTTGGCCTCTCTTTTATGTTGCAAGTTGTGTAGTTTTTTTTTTTTTTATGTAACTGAAAGTATTTTTCACAAGACAATTAATAGGAGGTGACTGTGGGTAAGCGTTATACATTCCTGGCTTTCTTTGGCCTCTCTAAGGAGATCTCTAGGTTGTGAAGTCCATCCAAAGCTTTTTAATTTTTTTAATTTTTTTTTAAGGTGGGTGTACTCTGGCTCAGGAAATCCCTAGGACGCAAATTATTAGAAACTGAGAGGGTATGCTAGGAGTGATATCTTTGTGCTGTTTTATTCAGACAGTCATTCTTTTTGTCTGCTTTAGACCACTATCAAACAAAAAAATCTAGGGTAACATTTTGAAAAAACTGAATTTGCCTTTTCCCTTAAGACTGTAATGTCTTTTAAATATATTTGAATTAAGATTCCTACTGTAAAAGACATTCTAGAACAGGGGTCCTCAAACTTTTTAAAC